TAATTCTATTGAGTTGGCAACTAAGTAATTGCCGATTTGTTCAATGAAATAACAAATTTTTTTTTACTTGGAATGAAGTTTAATCTGTAATGTATTTTCCATTTTGTTCGATGACCTTTTGCCATCTCTCTGACAACTTGAAAATTCCACGCTCGTAGAAAGTCTGATCCTTTTCGGCCAAAAACTGAGTTAAGTGAGATTTTACAGCGTCATCGTCGTTAAAAGTTTTACCACGAAGGGAGTTGTCCAGGGATCGAAATAAGTGGTAATCCGATGGCGCGAGATCAGGGCTCTGTGGTGGGTGTAACATCGATTCCCAACCGATATCCATCAATTTTTGCCGAGTGGACAAAGACGTGTGCGGCCTAGCATTGTCCTGCTGGAAAATGACAGCTTTACGATTGACCAATTCTGGTCGCTTTTCCTTGACCGCTGCATTCAATTTGTCCAGTTGCTAACATTCACGGATAATAAAAAATAACATAATAATAATAATAATAATAATAATAATAATAATAATAATAATAATTTTATAATATAACATTTACGGATATCATAAAAATGGGAGTGAGAGACATCTATAACTGAAATCGGCAATTACTTAGTTGTCAACCCAATAGTTTGAACCATTCGGAAGATCAATTTCTTTTACTATAAGAATGCACAGTGCCAATGAGATTCTTCTAGGTTTACCTGCTTTATTTCTAATTTTTCTAAAAAGTGCATTTTATCCCGTTCATTAATTGCTGCTATTGAATGGGGCAGGTATATTCATTGGTATTAATTTCATAAGTGTGCTACTGTCTAAAATTATTTTTCTATACTCTTCGCAGGTCGACGAATGAAGCCACAAATTTTAAAGTCGATAGACTGATGAATTTTTGTTTCAGAAATTCCCAGAAGTAGCGCAAATGTTCGGTCGTCAAAGTAGAAAAGATACTAAAAGAACGTCATCTTCATTTTGCATTATAAGGCTCTTCAGAAGCGACACGTTCGGTGAGTTAGGATCCAAATGATCGAGCGTCCAAGGAGAAACTTTCTGATTTCGCTATTACTGGGGGACCGGGATCTCGCAACACGCGGAAATATGATTGTAAAGGAGAACGACGAAAATGGAAGAGTACGTTTATCTTCTTTAGAAAGCCCCGATTGGATACTCGAGGATCTGTTTGGAGAAAATATTGCATCCCCGGCAGATGCTCCAAATCCTCGAGTTTAAGAATTGCTCACGTAAACGCGCAGCTGCATCGCATTGTTGATCTAGACATTATTATTGTTAAGTACACGAACGACAATCGCCCGAGCGAAATATCAAGAATATACTCTTTGTCGACGGAAAAGCTCGAAAATGTTTCATCGCTCCGTCGTACACACGTTTGTCCCACTTCGTGATATATATATATAAACAATAATGCATGTTTGCTTTGCAGTCGATAAAAAGCTCAATTCAGAGAAAACAATTCCTGTTGTCGGCACATACATACTTCTGTTCAAAGTATCCGCGGGCATCCAGTATTCTAAGCTGGCATTAATTCCGACAAACTGAATACTGTAATAAGCTTTCTGTTTCTATTTCTATTTTGATCATAGGTTTGCTTGAAATTCTATATTTTTCTTAAAATTAGAGCTTCGCACTTTCCTAAGCACTCAGTTCTCGACCGTGGCTTTTCAATATAAATGCTGAGAAGATCCTCAATTTCTACTTATGTTACTCCATTGAAGCTAATTATCTCAATTTAACCTTTCAAGATCCAAAAATCATATGTCTGATAACACTGGAAATCTTGATTTTTATTTAAAATAAAAACAACTTTGGAAACGTTGCAATTAGCCTCCGATAGTTTACCTGAACGAAATATACCAAGCCTGTTCGACGAGAAAGAAACAAAAAATGACGGAAAGAAACTACAAAAATTTGGTAAAATCTGACAATCAGAAAATTCATAATGGAACAAGAGATAAGAAAAACTGTTATTTATTAAGAATATTAAGAAACCAGCATTTACTCAAGCGTAGCCAACAACGATATATCGGCACTGAAAGGGTTAAACGGCGGCTTCTAAAATAACGCAAAAATGGACCAGTCCGAGAAAGTCCGCGGGTTTGAGAGGCAACGAATAACTACGCAAGCGAGCAGTCGCGTCGCAGAGGACAGGTCCGAGAGCGGTCGCCGGTCCCCCGATTCATCCAAATTACCCTCAATTTATTCCGTTTCAGCGGCTATCGGGCGAAAAATCCTGACAGCCGTAGCCCATTTCCCCGGCGCGATGAACCTTTAATTTCGCATACGAAAGTACGGCCGGTGGAGCGGTTGTAAAAGTAGTCGGTCCCCGGAGCGGTCGCTGGGGGAGGCCGTAAAAGGAACGTGTCCCCGGCGTAAGAAGCGACACGAGCCACGTCACCGGCCGCTGCTCGCGACGAAAGAGACCGCCGGATCACAATATATCTCATTCGGAGCCGGTCGACAAGTTCGATCGTCGTTTTCGCCGGGCGCATAAATCAGCGGGGCCCTGGGGCCCGCGCGACTCAACGCCGCGGAGACGATCGGTTCCCTCACTCTCTCTCTCTCTCTCTCTCTCTCTCTCTCTCTCTCTCTCGCTCTTTCATTCTTTCTCTTTCACTCGTAGCTCCCGCCAATGGCGACCCCGGGGGCCTACCGAAGGGCCTTACCTTATTTAAATTGCCGAAGCCGAGCCTCTGAATAGCCTGAGACTTCCAGTCCGGAAGCGGCGGGTTGAAGGCGACCGCGGACGGCGGGGCGGAAGCCTTCAGCACGCCGAGGGGCAGCGTGACCAACACCGCGTCCGCCTTGTACACCGTGTGATTTGTGTGGGGGCTGCGAGAGGGTGCGGCCCACACTTCCACGCCATTTACCCCGTACCGGACCGCCCTGGCAGCTGTGTTCAATCGAATGTCGAGGCCTTCCGAGAGAGCAACAGGTACGCAGGAGTAGCCGTTGCGAACTGCAAGGTAACGGAGGAAAAGGTGTTACAGTTTCGTTGCGAGATGCGATTATGGTATGCTTCGGTCATTATGGGCGGGGATATTCTGGATTAGTCGGGGAAGTGGAAAGGGTTGAGTGCCAAAGATCGACTGCAAGAATTACAGTGAAGTCTCCGTAATTGACGCTCGATTTGGAAATAAAGGTGGACCATTTGGGAAGAGGGGATACGATTACTCGAGCCTTGCGGCTCGTTTTTATAGTCAATAATTGTCGATTGCCAAATCGACATTTAAAAAAAGAAATAATAAATCGATTGTCAACGACTATATAAAAAAGAACCGCGAGGCTACACCTCTTCTTCCTCAAGGCGTGCCTTCTCTTTCCAAATTGTCCATTTTTGTTTCCTAGTTGAGCGTCAATTAGGGAGAATTTACTTTACTGCACAATTTAAGTGATTTGATTAATTACACTGAGACAAGAAAAATAAAATTCTTCAAAATAGATGGTTTTTTGCATCGAAAACGTCGTAGGGAAATTCAGTTTGTTCGAATATATTGCAATAAAATGGAATTTTAGCATTGAACGTATTGACCATTCCTGGTGGGACCATTTTTTATTTATTGTATAATATTTATTGTATATATTGCATCAATATTATTATTTATTGTATAAATCAGTGAAGAGTTAGGGGATGCTACCAGTTATTTTTAGGCTTTCGGTATCTTGGAACTGTTGAGGGAGAGAGGAGGTTATGTCAATGATCTTTTTAACCACTACTAGAGAGATCACACAAAACATTATTTATCGCGTACAAATTAATAAGTACATAATTATCGTATTATTCGAATGCTCATGATCTCTGATCAGTTCAGATAATCGAGGTATTATTATACATTTAAGATTAGTTGCGTTTTCAATGAGCTTTTTTGATCTAGAACGACCCTAAACGAAGGGAAATTCATCATCCCTTAGTGGTTACGCCAAATCAGAACAGTTTGTTCCATAATAAAACCAAAAAAACTTATTACAATAATTACTTCAGCAACCCTCTTGCGTCTTGTACATCCGAACGAATCTCGACGAACTAAACAGATTATAACAAAAATTGATTTTCAAGTGCGACAAAAGAATCGTGTCACATAAATAGCCAACGTCGCAGCTAAAATATCGTCTTCGAGCCTTCAAGAAGTCTTCAATAATTACGAACCCGCAGTTTCGAGTTATTCTGCCATCTCTGTCCTCGAATCTCAGAATTTTCTCGACTCTCCGCAATCGAATTATACATAGACTCGCTATCGCGCAACAGTATACAGAGAGCGTGTAGTCGCAATGGCTTCTAAAACGGTGATCGAACATCGGAAATCGATGGGAACAGCGTCGCCTTAGCAAGGCGTGGCCGACGCGGCGCAAGGGGTTGGCCCGTTCGCCGCAAAATTCCGTGGGCCCGGCGTCACCGGATGCGATAAAGGCTCCATTACCGTTTAATTGGATATTTCGCATTAACGCGGCGAAATCAGTACACCTGACGCGGCCCTAAATCCTCGTAAGCACACTCGAACCCCATAACATCCGCTGCGCATGTACTAATAATGATACACAGGCGTCTCCACTTAGGGGGGTTAATTATGTTGATGGCCGCCGGTGCGCTAACAAGCACTCTCCTATCGGCAGTGCCGTGGCGTTTCGGGTATTTAAATTTACGCGGCCGGACCGCCGGAGTGCCATTCTAATTTTGAATTACCGAGGGCGCGCGTTGCCTACCCCTGCCTGCGCGCCAATCGGAAATCAGCCCCCGCGAATTCCCCGATGGCCGAGTTCCTGATAGCGGAGAGAGAGCGAGAGAGACCGAGAGAGAGAAAGAGAAAGAGGGTACCCCTCGCCCCAATGATGCCGCGAATGCTGGAAAAGTTTTCGGCGGGGTTTCGGGGGAGGGGGTAGCCAGGACACCTTGTCTCCGAGCGGTTCGACCTGTTCTTCCTAGAAATTTATCGTCGCGTCGAGAACGGCAGTCGCCTCGTCGTTTCGTTAATTCGACCGATTTAAATTCGACGTCGACCGATTCGTGGCCCGTTCCCCTTTTTTCGGCTGAAGGAAACGTTTCAGTACTCTCTCTCTCTCTCTCTCTCTCTCTCTCTCTCTC